GGGGAAAGATATAGGTTAATTATTATGATTTAATAGATTAGTATAACTAAGGCCGAGTGTGAAGTAGACCTTTGTTATTGACATACACACGAGAAAACTCGCCCGAAAAATGAAACGTTTCTTCTCGACCTGAACAAAGACAACTCTTATTACCCGGCTTGACTAATGAGGCAGGGATTCACGGACCTCTAGAATGCCTTCACGGACCCTAAAGGGTCCGCGGACCCCTATTTGAGAACCACTGAACTAGGTTATACACCAACTCATCTCTGTGACGTCACGACGCGGTGGTGGCGCGTCGGTCGCACTTCCAGTCTGGGGCTGTGGGCAGAAGTCCCCATGCCAGACGTGTATTCCTGCGTTGTTTTGAAAGGAACCAGACAAAAACCTGCCTTCTCGTCAAAACGCCGCGACTGTGGCCGTACCAAAAGTGTCGAGAAAGGTTTGAAGGTCAGTTTTCACGTGTTCGGTTCGTCCGAGAATCTGGATATGTGCCGTTAAAAGGGAAAAGCAGACGCCGCCGGACAATGATTGCTTGGGCGGGAAGCACTTTGGGCTGAATTCACGGGTACGTGTGGTCATCAGATTTATTTGTTTTGTTCCAACATGAACGCCAGATAACTCAAGTTGTGCGGACCACCTGTCTACGTTCAGTGCGTCTTCAAGTTCAAACGGCCGCCTGATTGTTCGAATTGTCGTCTGCTCTTTCAAACGTTTCTGCTTGTCGTCTGCTCTCTTACGCCGGTCCGTAGACCAAATGTTGGCCCGGTACTTGCGATAAGAAGTGAGTGCAGGCCTCAAAAGACTTAAATTTGAAGGTTGGTAAGCAGGCTCGATGTAAACAGAAGATACAAGGAGATGTTGGTCATTGTTACCAGTGACCAACACCGACTTGTTATGCCTAATTCAGTTGGTCCGATTCTGCTTGCGATTTTCAGTATCGTCGTCGACCATCTCAGCTACGGTTCACGCTTTCGCAGCCCGAGCGGCGTCGTGACTGAAAATTTTGAGCGAAATCTCATCATGCGAATCAGGCTTTAGCGTACAATCTGCGGCGTCCACGCGGAATGAATCGCCACATGTCACATTATTCACGCGAAGTTTTGCGGTGTAACGAGCCTCGGTAATTTCACTGACGCCGCTCAAGGTAGTTAGACATCGCCAGGTAGACGTAAAACCAACAATTCGAACGCGAAAAAGGGCAGGGGGACTCACACCGACGCCGACAACATCGCATTTCAATGGTTTGTTTATGGGCGACGGCGAGCTTCTTGCCCACACCCCCACCGCGCATGCGCGGCGCCGGTGGCATCCGCTAGGGGCGCTCCGGGCGCTCCAGTTTGTTTGTAAACATGAGTTGGTGCATACTATTCTAAAAGGGCATTCACACATATGCCTTAAGCAACTAAACCGACAGGCTGTTGCGATGCGGCACTATGACGTCAGCTATGCAGCGGAGAGAGGGAGGGATGCTCGGGCGGCACAAACAATGCTGGTTTAGCAGTGAATCAGTTTGTCTCGAATAACGGTTTGCCGTTAAACTATTTGCTGTCAAATGTAGAGCTCGCTAACTTCGTCCGTGGTGGTGTTGAGTATAGAAGCCGGTAAATTGGACTGCAAATAGCACCTCGTCAGAGACAACGTAATTGTTCGTGATGCAAGACGACCAAGAACAATGTGGAAGGTAAGACGAATTATTCGAGTTCATCCTAGACAGGACAAGATCAATGATATTGTAGTGAGTGCACAGGCGAGCTGGTGGAAATTAACCATTCTGATGTTAGCCTGAGACTGAGGCAGGAAAAGAGGAAGTTTCAAAGTAGAAGAAAAAGGAACAGTCAAGGATACGTCTCTAACACAGCTAAAGACAAGTTTATTCGGTCACCCTCTTATATACACTCCACAATCTTCACCACAGAACCTTCGCGACCTCCAAAGCCAAAAGATAACAAAGAACTCATCTCTTTCCACCACAATAATCAAACGACCTTGACAATCCTACAAAGCCCCCTCACCAACACAACCTATCTCCTCTCTCCCGGAAGACGATCGACCTTCGCGTACATAGCACACCCTCCTCCTCTCCTCCCCGGCCCACAATCCCGAAACAACCCGGCAACAAAAGATACCAATCCACCTGATCCAAACCAAAGACACAAAGGAGGAAACCACTTACACCCTTTCACAATCAACAACCACTTAACAAAACTCTCAAATCCGCAAAAACCTTCTTGCGGATTTGAGAGTTTTGTTAAGTGGTTGTTGATTGTGAAAGGGTGTAAGTGGTTTCCTCCTTTGTGTCTTTGGTTTGGATCAGGTGGATTGGTATCTTTTGTTGCCGGGTTGTTTCGGGATTGTGGGCCGGGGAGGAGAGGAGGAGGGTGTGCTATGTACGCGAAGGTCGATCGTCTTCCGGGAGAGAGGAGATAGGTTGTGTTGGTGAGGGGGCTTTGTAGGATTGTCAAGGTCGTTTGATTATTGTGGTGGAAAGAGATGAGTTCTTTGTTATCTTTTGGCTTTGGAGGTCGCGAAGGTTCTGTGGTGAAGATTGTGGAGTGTATATAAGAGGGTGACCGAATAAACTTGTCTTTAGCTGTGTTAGAGACGTATCCTTGACTGTTCCTTTTTCTTCTACTTTGAAACTTCCTCTTTTCCTGCCTCAGTCTCAGGCTAACATCAGAAAGGACAAGATCATTTGTTCCTGCGAAGTTTGACTCGCAAATACACTAATCTTGAGACGACTTGTCGACCTTCCTACCCGCTAGAAAACTGCAACAACGAGCTCCGGGTGGCAGCTTGTTAAAAAAGTGAAAGCTGCTTATCAAAGCTGTGTGTTGGGCTAGTTGGTAATGGTCTTGGGTTGCCAAAGGCATGGTAGCGCTTTTTTGGACGAGGACAAAAGAAAGAAAGACAAGACAGACAGGCGGCTAGGCCTGGGGTTGGTTGATTGATAGGATCGAAGCGTGTATATATGCCTCATTTCCATGTTGATTAAATAGTTGCAGTCAGCGCTCGTGTCTGTCTTGTCTTTCTTTCTTTTGTCCTCGTCCAAAAAAGCGCTACCATGCCTTTGGCAACCCAAGAAGCTGCTTACAACTCCCTGTAACGCCGAATTAGAGCGCAGCTCTTGAGGAGGAGGAGGGAAGGGCACTGAGGGGGGGGAGTTCAACTGACCAGGGGGGGGGGGTCACGTGACCTTGGGGGTCACGTGACCCCCAATGCCGATGATGTCATCACTGACGTCACTGATGACGTCATCAGTGACGATGACGATGCGGGTACCGATGACGTCATTAGTGACGTCACTGATGACTTCACCAGTGATGATGACGATGACGATGCGAATGTCGGTGACGTCATCAGTGATGATGACGATGCGGATGTCGGTAACGTCATCAGTGATGATGACGATGACGATGCGGATGCCGGTGACGTCATCAGTGATGATGAGGATGACGATGCGGATGCCGGTGACGTCATCAGTGACGATGACGATGACGATGTGGATGCCGGTGACGACATCAGTGACGTCACTGATGACGTCATCAGTGATGATGACGATGACGATGCGGATGTTGGTAACGTCATCAGTGATGATGACTATGACGATGTGGATGCCGGTGATGTCATCAGTGATGATGACGATGACGATGTGGATGCCAGTGACGTCATCAGTGATAATGACGTCATCAGTGATGATGACGATGACGATGTGGATGCCGGTGACGTCATCAGTGACGATGACGTCATTGGGGGTCACGCGACATCGGCGGGGGTCACGTGACCTCAGGGTAGTCACGTGACTTCGGGGGTCACGTGACCTCGGGGGGGGTCACGTGCCCCCCCTCCCCGAAGTCACGTGACCCCGGTGGGGGGCTCGCGCGGTGCATTATGGGACATTTCCCATGATGCACCGCGCAGTTACGCCGACGCCGCTCAAGCCGGAAACGGGCCCCTAAGAGCTGCGCTCTAATATAACAAAAACACGCCACCATTTCATGACCCACGGTGGAAGAAGATGATCTCGTGCTTTCGAAGGGCCTGCATGCGCTCTTTTCTTTTGATTCTGGATATGTGATTCCGTTCTGACTGGCGGGTCAGATTAAAGCTCCCGTTTAAACTAGAGGCACTCTTCAGAAAGACAACCCGTTTGACGAGGCAGTCCCAGGCGACTGCGCGGGATTTGCTTTGGTAAGGCCCGCACTGCTCAGGGCGAGAAAATAAATGCGCCCTTTGTAGTGTGATATCAATACACCAGACGGCAGTTCATAGTGGGCGATGCCGCAACAAGACGATGCCGCGTGTCCGACAGTGGCACCCACCGTTCCCGGAGGCCTCGTACACGCCGTAAATACATAAGTCACGTTCGTTCCTCCGACGGGCGTCAATGTACCTTTCCTCGGTCGGTGGGCCCGCCGGTCCAGGGCCACAAGCGTTCCCTCGTCTCAAGCGCGGCACATTTAAGCCACCTTTTATTATTTCTGGGCCTTCCTTTAGAGACGATCACCCCCCCCACCCGTACTCTCTCCAAAAGTAAAATGTCTCTGGCCAACATGCACGCTGCCACATAAACTGCCTCAGTGAAAGGGTCTTTCGTATTGACGGAGACTGTACAATGGGCACAACACGGTAGGCTTATTTCTTTCATCTTTGCGTTCAAGTACAAGGTTTTCCGACGGGAAATGAGCTTAAAAACCCAGGAAGCTATGCTCGGTCGCGGGTTATCAAAAGCGAGCCTCTAGGCTCCCGTAGAGCACTATGCGTCGGAGGCGAGCGTAGAGAAGGAAACCAGAGACCAGGGTCGTTTCCCTCGCTGCCACCTGCCCCGGAGAAGGACACGACGCTCCACACACAAACGTTAATTCACCGTCGTCCAAGCTCGCGTCTCCCTCCGCACGCCTCTGCACTGGCCTTTTATTGGCGCAAAGTGGCAACACGTGGCCGCTTCCACCCGGGCGCCTCACGGGGCTACCCGGTCCCCCGCCAACCTACGGCCTTACGGCAAAAGGCTGCAGCTGGGCCAGGGTGGCGGCCACGCTGTCGGCCCGCCGGGAGAACACTGCCACGGCGCAGCCCCCCAGCAGGAACCTCTTGGCCACGCAAGCGCCAATGCCCCCCGTGCCGCCAAAGACGCAGGCCACGCGCGCCATGGCACCTCCCCGGCTTTGCACTTGTTCCTTCGAAATTGGACCAACGTGGACCGTTCGGACGGCGTTGCTCGAGTCTCTGTAATGTCGCGGCACGTGTTAACGAGAAAATGCTCAAAGTGCAGAAAAAACACAGTATACAGTCCGCACAGCACAAAATATTACTTTTGAAATAAGTATAGTTTGCAGAATATACACCGAAAAATATGGTAATTTCAAATGAGCGGACTGCCATGGCAATCCAAATTCGGCAAAATATCATCATTAGTGTCAATTCCAGTATGTAAAATTAACCAGTTATAAATTTAAAATAGTGTAGAATCATCAAAAACATTCTAGCTAGCATAAGAAAGCAACCTAAATTGACATTAACTGTGGGTAAAGCATATGGTGATATCAAATACGCAACTTTTGACAATTGGAAAAATTTCAAAATTCGCCGCCAATCCTTCTGGACCAAATGCCCCCGAAAGACAAAAGGTGGATTTCGATCATTTAATTACAAAACTACTTGGAACATTTATTTTCTTTCATTTTTACGCACAATGGATAGACCTTTCTCCATTAAGCTTCTCCACATGCATATACTCTCTCCCTAGGCCTACCTACCCAATGTTGCCATTTTCGCAGGGCACCCTCATTGTCAGCATCTATCTTCGCGTGTCTTTAGTCTATTTTGACGCTTCATTTTTTAGTATCGGTAGTGTGGGGTATGAACAGCGCCGAAAACCGATACAACAGCACAAGGCCAATCTGTTCTTACGGGCAGAGGCACGTTGGGCTGCACTCTATTTGTAGTTTGCAGACAACTCCCCAGATGGTGCTCACAACTCAAAAATGGTCGCCTTTGCTGTTTATGTTGTATCTGAGAGGATTGGAGGATAGACTAGAGAAGAGTGGGCTTGGGTTCAACCTTTCTTACAGTAAGCTAGGCCAAAAAATTCAGCAATCCTTACCGGGATTGATGTATGCGGATGATATTGTACTAATGGCTAACAACAGGACAGAGTTGCAGGAATTAATGAGCATCTGTGCTAGGGAAGGAGAGGAATTAGGTTTAGAATTCAGTAGCGAAAAATCGGCAGTCATGATTTTTAACGAGGATGAAGTTGAGAGGCTGAAGATACAGAATATTACAGTTGAGAGAGCTAGTAAATACAAGTATCTAGGAGTATGGATATGTGATGGTGCAGAATATCTCAGAGACCATGAAAAGTATATAATAGGTAAGGGCAACAGAAATGCAGCTGTAATGAAAAATAGAGCACTTTGGAATTACAACAGGTATGAGGTGGTGAGAGAGATTTGGAAAGGGGTCATGGTGCCTGGCTTGACTTTTGGAAACGCAGTGCTATGCATGAAATCCGAAGTGCATGCGAGACTAGAAATAAAACAGCGCGGAGTAGGTAGACTGGCTTTGGGGGCACATTGCAAAACGCCAAACCAGGGAGTACAAGGAGACATGGGACGGGCATCATTTGAGAGCAGGAAGCGGTGAGCAAGGTAGAATTTGAGGATAGGTTGAGGCAAATGGACGGGGAGCAATGGGCACGAAAGGTTTTCAGCTATTTATACATGAGGAGTGTAGACACAAAGTGGAGACAGCGCACTAGGAAATTAAGAGGAAAGTTTTTGGGCTATAGCGAAGATACGGAAGAGCAAGTCTCAGTTAAGAAGAAAGTTAAGGCCACAGAAAGAGATCGGTGGCTAGAGGGAATGGAGACAAAGACGGCTCTGGAAAGCTATAGATTAAACAAAACAGTTATTGCCAAAGAAAGCATTTATGACAATTCTAGGGGAAGGTCATTGCTGTTTGAGGCAAGAACGGGTGTTCTGCGAACCAGAACATACAGAGTGAGGTACCAGGAAATTGATACAGTGTGCACTGCTTGTGGAGAGGAGGACGAGACGGCTGAGCACTTGATGCTCTACTGTAAAGGGCTTCACCCTATGCCTATCGAAGACAACATAGATTTAATAAAGTCATTGGGTTTTAGAGACAGCAAAGGGAGAGTGGATTTCAAGACTGTAGAGATTACCAAGCAAAGATTAAGTGAATGGTGGCAGAAATCGAGAGAAAACTAGGTATTTTCTTATTCACTGATGGCAAGGGGGTTTCATAGCCTCACTTTCTTTGCACTGCGGAGTGAATATAGATTTCACATTTAAATATTCTAAGCTTAAATGGTAAAACAAAATGGCTAGGTGGCGTAAGCTACCGCCCGATCCAAAGGGCTCAGCCGTATTCATCCATCCATCCATCCATGGTTTAATACATAGATTTAATAAAGCCATTGGGTTTTAAAGACAGCGAAGGGAGAGTGGATTTCAAGACTGTAGAGATTACCAAGCTAAGATTAAGTGAATGGTGGCAGAAAGCGAGAGAAAACTAGGAATTTTCTTATTAACTGATGGCAAGGGGGTTTTATAGTCTCACTTTCTTTGCAGTGCGGAGTGAATATAGATTTCACATTTAAGTATTCTAAGCTTAAATGGTAAAACAAAATGGCTAGGTGGCGTAAGCTACCGCCCGATCCAAAGGGCTCAATCAAATTCATAAAAAAAAATGAAAAAAAAAGTCCATTTGCCAATTCCAATGGTTCCAGTTTGAAGGAATGCCCACTCGCTTACGCCGTCTGTTCACTGCAACACATTTCGCCGGAAAACTGATGAAACGGTAAAGCCTACTCCCATACAGTGAAGAGTGCTCTTTGCTTTCAGAAATGGCTGTCTGCGAGCCACGATTGCGAGCGGTTCTGCCGTGCCCGCCGAGCGGGACAATTAAGGAACCCACGTGCCTAAGGCCTACCTTCCTGTTTCCGCTGCATTGCATGGAGCTGCAGACGTGTCTGTTGCAGGCTCAGAAAAGCGAGACAGGCTGCTCCCACAAAGCCCTCAACTCACTTTAGCAGAACGCTGTAGAGGAGGCGCGTGGACCCCTCTCCCCTCGTCTCCAGAGTTCACTCTGTTAAAGGGAGGGCTGGCTCGTCCCGCTTTCCTCAACCTGCAACAGACTACACTACACTACAGTTGGTGACGGGCTGAAACTCCTCCCACCTCTTTACACTTTCGCGGAGCAGACGCTGGAAAGGCCTCCTTTCCAGCATCCACACTGCTGAACTGGAAAGAGGTAGCTTCCCCAGGACTGTTGACCTGTCACCGACTGTAGTGTAATGAGCCAATCATTTCATACTCTGAGTGATTGTCAGTGTCAAGTGATTGTGTTTTTCCGAGTTCCTGTCTATTTTTTTCATTTTTTTCCTTCGTATGAAGCGTGCTTGTAAATCAGCGCCGTATCTTCGAGTTGTCCTTTTGTTGTTTTGCACGGTTTTCAACTCGCTATGCATCACCGACTCGGCCAAGTTTACGTTATTCTCCTACTTAACGAAACGATGCAGGTTCATGAAGCGCAGAGCTGAATAAAATTTGAGTTGATAGCGCTCGTCCTGTGTTCTGTATTGTTGGTACTTTTGAGCGCTTTTATCGCCCACAAGGCACCTTGCGACGCCTTTGTGTCCCCCTGTTCGGAGCGGTCACGAGTCTAATTAATCCGGGGCGCGAAGGGAGCACAGCGCTCGTAAAAACGCCCGCGGCAGCGGAGGCCGTTTTGTGCACGGACTCGAGTCGTGAGCCCGGGGCTCGGTCGCAATGCAAGTTGGTCGTCGGCAACGGCTTCTGCTGCCGCTTTTTTTCTCTTTCTGGCCTCTTTCTTTCCGAGCCATCGTGACTTGCATCAGACGCGTAGCATGTTTCCAGTCCGCATCAGTCCGCGAGAAATACGACAAGGCGCGCGGCAATAGGCGCAGTACTGCCATTTATATTAACTGGGAAACGCAGCTGCGGACTGCCGTAAATTAGAATAAACCAGTGCACGCGCGCGCGCTCGTGTGTACCTGCGGCCGACGATTGGGCGCCTGGCAGCCGTCAGGTGGGCAGGCACTCTGCACCGCAGAATGAACGGCCCACGCACCGCTCCGAGGAGCCGAGAGGAAAACGCCGCAGCGAACAGCTCCAAACAACACGTGAGTCTCGACAGCAGATGAGCCAAAAAGACGAGCAGACTCTCGTTCCGGCTTCGATTCCGACTCGTCTCGACTGTTTTAAGTTTCTCTTACGCCTTTGGCAACAAATCAGCGTCGCATTAAATCAACGCGGAACATTTTGCGCCATTCGTTCCTTTCCTAAACGTTGCAAAAAATAGAAATTATTATTTTTAATTTTAATTGCGAGTCGTTTCCGAGTCGGTATCCGCGTCCAGCGCGCTTACGAAACTAGCCCGGGTGACGGTGCGCAGAGGTAACGTTGGCAGAGGCCGAGGAAGGCCCGAACTTGAGGGAAAAATTAAATGGCGTCGTTAGCTGCGGAGTCGAAGGGCGTCGGTGAAATAAGTGGACGCGAGAATGACCGACGCCGATGAGTCGGCCACGGGCACGGACACATGAGCGGCGCCCAGTGTGCCCTTCCTCGACGCTGCTGGAGCCCGGAGATGTGATGTGATGGAGCGAGTCGACAAGGTAGTGTTTTGTTTTTGTTTTAGGCTTACCCTAGTGTTGCTACACTTCACCAGTGGTGCGCGTGACGGCAGTTTGTTTTTGTTGACGACGTAAGTGCGCCGATCCCTGGGCGCGCTACTGCGCTTCAATCGGGTCGCGGAGCCGAGCTCGAGCCGTCGCCCACCGATCTCCGATATTGGGGCCTGGGAACGCTGTCCGAACGACGCACTTGAGCGGCTCCAAAGTGTCGGACTGGCGGGGGCTTCCCCGATCGCGCTGTGCGCTGCACGGCGCTGCCTAGGCCTAGGCGCGCCTTTTCGCAATCGGTCGTTCCCGACGCGATTTGGGGGCCCTCGGGGTGGGCCTCCGTCCGATCGGCCCCTGGGGGGCCCCTCGTCGCCTGCCCGCTCGACGGGGCCCCCGAAACGGGCCCCCTCGGGTTCGCGCACACCTCGTGACACTCGCCTTGTCAACAGTTGCATAAGCGCCAGTGTGCGTACGCGGATCGGAATTTCCGGTTGCGTAGCCCACTTCCCCGTTGGCCTTTGACCCACTTCGGGCAAAACAAAGCGGCGCCGCCGATGAGAACGCAATTAAAGGCGGCCGATGGGACTGCGTTCGCGGCGCTGGCCCTCGAGCTGGGGCTTGAGACGCGACGCTGGTCGATCCTCTTTGGGTAGCTTTGCTCGCTTCCATGGCGCGTGCGGTGGCTTCATTGAGCGCATGGGCGTGCCTGGCACGTCGCCTCGGCGGCAGGGCAGCTGGTCTACGCTGGGATCTCTCTCTTTCTTTTCAAGATGCGAGGCTGGACTCAGCTCTCTTTCGCTCGACCAAATTGTTTCCTGCCGCTCTTTGCACGTAGTTTGCGACACTCGCTGAAAGTTCCTACAACTGCGTGTTAATAAAATCACGAGTCTTTTTTTTTTTTTTTTTGCTGTGTTTGTGGAGAGATGTTTTGCACGTTTCATGAATCTGCACGCTCCTCTCATTTTTTATCCTTTTTTTTTAATTTTCTACTGTCCCGTTTGGCGCGAAAAAACAGCAACAAACAGCTGGCGGGTTTTCCGCGGTATTTTATCTTAGCTAGTGATGTAATTCGTGCGACTCAGTTGCAAAACAACGCGCTAAATAGTATCGTAAGAAAATTTAAAAAAATATTACGAAGGCGATTTTAAATTTAATAAAGCGCAGATTCCCTTTCCTTTCTAGTTCAGTCATTTTTTAACAAAAATATAGTACCATGTAGAGTGTAGATCTGCGTATGATTCACCGTGCTGACGTATTAGTATCGTTATATGCATGTGCCGTATTTTCCAGACTATAGTTCACAAACTATGTATGTTTAAAAGCTGAAATTTTACCTGATGTGAACTATCTACAAATGCAAATTATACGAGGGTATGTTTTTTTTTTTTTTTCTAGATCACTGTAACAAGATTAGAGGAATTTTATGAATAGCAAAGTATATTAATGGTAATTTGTGTATGATATAAGCTTCTTTGTGAACTAATACAGCAGGCATCTGTCAAGGTGTGCTGTGTATCATAATCTTTGCATTTGGATTAAGCGCAAAGTCTGGACTATGTGCTGGGTGCGGGCTATCTAAGGGGAACTTTCATTTTTGACCCCAGTTTTGCCCTTGTGGTCTATAGTCCGGAAAATACGGTAACAACACAGTATTCATAGATCTGTCGCAAAGTTGCAGCAGGAAAGGGCACGCTGGGTTTGTAGTTACACACACTGCATTTGGTGGCATCTGCAGCAGCAGGTTTTCAGGCACAAATCAAACAAGTGGCACTTAGTACGTGAATTTGTTTTTGCATTATTTTCGTCATTTCCTTTGGATCTTCCCTTCAGGCGTGCAGCGCATTCACGTGCAAACCCAGCATGCTCCTTGGTGTTCTAATTGTTGAGCGAAAGGTCCATCGAGGTTTCAGCAGATTGTCTCGCATTGTTTTGTTTCTTACATTGTCGAAAATCGTCTTGCTGTACTTATTGTCACAGAGTCGCTGAATGTTCCCAGAGTACCGAATTCCGTTCAGTCCACTTACTGGTAGTCGATCCCCGCAGGGTCCAGTTCTGATTGACTGGTTTAACCCGTGGTGGAAGTTATCAGTCAGCCATTTTAGAGCCAGGCCCAAAACAACAAAAAATGTATTTGCAATGTTTGCGGGTTACCACGGCTACGGTGGGTACGCAGGGGTGCGAGCTCTGGGTGTCTATGAGTTAGAACCGGACGGTGTTGATTTTCTTTTGATCTTTTTATATGAAGTAGCCACTAATCTGGTTTGTCAAAGGAGAATGCGTTTGCTTGCTCCGGTTCTGCTAGGGCTGCATTTCAAACTCTAGGCCTCGGGCGCTAAGCCTAACACTCGACTTCCATCTGCTTTGAGGTGAGAGAGGCGAGACGGCGAGGAGCTAGCCACGCACTGCTCGTACAAAGGAAATAACTTTAATATAAACAAACAGGCATAGCTACAGGCCAGGAACGTGGATTGAAGAGCTTGTACGAGAATTAACGGCTATACTGTATGCACTTCGCCAGGACTGCACAGGGTAGCACCATATTAGAGATTGCAACTGCTGCGCCTTGACTCGGTTCTGAAGCGAAGCTTGAGAGTTTCGGTACTCTGGGAACATTCAGTGACTCTAGTCACAGTAATGGACAATGCTGGTGTTAAGAGCGTCATTCTTCATTGGTTCAATTCGTTGGGCCTCGTGAGCACCTTTGTTTTTGTTTATTTCGAGTTACCTGTAATGTCTTTGGAGGAAAGGTCTTTAATATGATGATCAAGGACATTATACTTGATCTTGCCATACCGGTTTTTGATGCCTTTTAACTGGAAGGGCAGTGATTATCATTTGCCACACAGAATGAAAGGTACACCTGCTGGGTTTAATGGCGCAGTGTCAGATTTTTATAGCCTTTTTATGGGTGCTGCAGCAATAGATCTATGGGAAATGGAAATGTTTTTATATAAACTGGAGAAGGCCGTCCTTGTGTTTTGTGTTCTTTCCATTATTAGAGCGGAGGGGCCACTTTTACAGGGACCGACCCGTTCATTAGGCCTCAAAATGTGCAAACAAACAAATCGAGCCAGATGGAGCAAAATAGTTGAATCGGAATGCTAGGTTTACGTCAGTCCCGCGACAGTTGTTTGCTGCAAACTTCGTCGCTTCAGTTCTTCCTCTGAACATCTTGGTGAACGCGATATCTCACATTCATAAAAATAGACAAACTCAACGAGTTAGGCGGTGTGAGAAACTGCTCGCAGCAGACACCAAATTGAAGTAGAAAGGGCAATCGTGGTATATTTTAAAAAAAATCATGACTATATTATTTATCTCTTAAACATCAATGGATATTAAATAAAAGAGAAACAATTTTACAATAAACATTCTACACGTCAATAATCTCTCCAACCAATGAGAGCCAGGAAACAGCTCAGCTAGCTAAGCGTCTTTTAGTATGGGCTGGGTCAAGAGCCGGGGCTACCTCTACCTGAATATTTTTTTTTATGTTTGTGTTATTTAGAAGAACAAAAGAAGATTACTTTTTTATTGATGTTCTCCTTCTCTTCCTTGTCGTCGTCTGACAATACCTCAGTCTCGGGTTTTTCACTAAAATGTTTGATATACACCAGATCACTTGCGCCCTTACGTTCTGTTCATTTCAGTTTTTTTTTTTTTTTTTTTTTTTTTTTTTTTTAAGAAAAAAAGTTAAAAGAAAATTTTGCCTGGATTTTTTTAAGGGGAGGGGGGAGGGGGGGGGGGGGGGGGGGAGGGATGGGTTACATGTCGTATTTACCTATAGAGTTAATGTGGGTCCTTGAAAACCCTCCAATTGTAAAATGGCTCTTTTTCGAGTAGTGTGTTGAACCAAACCGAAAACGGGATCTAAATTGTTATTTTTGAGTCAACCGGAGCAAAACCAAAATTAAACATTCATTATTGAATCCGTACCGGAACGAAACAACAGTTTCATGTGGCAGTTACGGCTTCATTGGGAATTTTGCCGAAATAAAATGTGGACCGGTGCGACTGGCAGTCGGAGGTCCATTTTACTTTTCGCGAAAGTGGCGGCGGCGGTGATAGCAGCGACGTGGAGAATGAAGCAAATAAAAAGGATTCACGCGTGTGTACTAGACGATTTTGCGTCGGTGGAAGGGTGTGGTGCTCCATTTCGCTTTACAACAGACGGACGATACGAGTGATCCAGTGAACAAGTCTAGGAGCTAGAAACGTGTGCAAAGTTTTACAAATTAGAAGCACTAAGACGTGTTTGAGTTCTTGTTATTCTGAATGTCCCGTCATTAGATATATGGGACTACTTGAAGCTGTTTATTATAAAACGTATATCTAGCATTTCAATAAAGCAAATTATTGGAGAAACCGAAATAAGTGGGTTTTAGGAACATATAACCGAAACCGTAAAAACTAAGACCGTAAAAAACAAATGAATTTGATGTCAACAGGAAATGGTAACCGTAATGTTATATTTTTTTGGTTTGAGTCCCTGGTCTCAACGACGCTTGACACTTGAGTTAGGAGTCTGCTTCCCAAAAGTTGGGATGATCTTACGGCTTGGCAGCTGGGACATTGAGGTCTTCAACCCCCCCCCCCCCCCCCCTGGAGGGAAAGGGCAGCGAGCGACGAACTGAAGTGCAAATGCGTCCCTCTCTGTACATGTGAGGTGAGATAAAGTTGTTATCCCTAGTGATTTAACTGAGGCTTACTGCATCGAAGTCTAACTGAGATCGTAGGTGTACTTGCAAAGGTTTACAGGTGGCCCAGATTATTCCTGAGCTCTTCGCTGGTGCTTGCCTTTGTTGGTTTGGTAGGTTGGCACTGGGGTGTTTTCAGGTTGTTTTTGGCCTTGACACGAGCTAGTCTTTGAGGCAGCTTGAACCCATTTTTGGAGAATACTTTGAGTCCACTGGAATACACTGGAAACGCGCTTGCACCAGGTTGGAGTCTCGCCTCCTAATTAGCAGAAAAGGAATCGTATGCAATATCTAAAGTGCCACAGAGCCTCACAGAGCATATTTTTTGCTTAATATTTGTTCAAATGTAGGTCTCGCAGTGAAGTCTGACAAGGAGGAAGCGTTCTGAACCTGAAGTGTTAGGAACATAGAGCGGCGATGTGCTATGCAAGTGCCCTTTTGCGTCTCCCAGTTCAGCCTCGGCAGCTGACTAACTCGTCTTTTCCCGTCGTCTGCTGCGTCGGTGTTCCAAAATTTAGCCGGCATTGTAAAAAATGCAATTAGGCAATGTTCTCTTGACAAGCACTACGTTGAAAGGTTTAAGAGGCCTCTTCGGACCTCGAGCTGGCCTCGGTGGCTCCGAGGCAAAGTTCCGGCCTACGGATCACCGGGTGGCGGCCTCGAATTCCGGCCGAGGTGCCTGCAGTCTGACGGAGGCTTATTGCGGAGAAGGCGACGTGTAACCGAGCTTTCGATTGCCCTTCGAGAGATCCCCGGGTGGTAGAACTTAACTCTTTCGCTACCACGGGAAAAAGGGCAGTTTTTACTAGGTGGAAGGAAATATCTTTTGGTGCAGATTCACTAATGCCTTATTTACATTGTTTGGTATCAAAATGTAGTTAAACAAATTTTCTATTCGATAACATAAATGCAGCATATACATTTCTTGCACAACATAATAAAAAAAATGTTTTAATGTAAAACTTTATACAGTGAGGATGTTGTTCTGCTTGACAAAGGTGGACAACTCTAAAAATATCAAGAGTGAAAAAATTTCAAGATTTGCATTCTGTAGCTTATTATGCCATAAAATGATAACACAATTTTCAGAGGGTATTGCTGAAAACTGTTCTTTGCGCAAAAAAAAAAGTTAGCGTGGGTGTGTGGCGTGCCATCCTCCAAAGCAGTCCCTCGTTGGGATGAAACACAGATACACACCACTTGGCTCACAAAAAACTGCAGTCTTCCTTTCGACCTTCTTTTTCTCGTAGCAGAGCTTGCAGTTACGGTGCAGCCAGTCCCTTTGAGCTGGGTGTTTCTCGCTTCCCGGTGTAAACGCTAAATTACACAGTGTAGCCTGTGCTTGAGTCAGCAAGGACCCACAGCTTGTACCCCCATTAGACCCCCTTGTCACGCATATACTGGCGTATTCCCGATCGTCCTTTTGATTTGACCATTCGTTCATCCACGCACAAATTTCGGTATGGCTGGAAATGCTGACATGACACGTCATTCATATGTTGCAGCAGATGTGTGATCCTGTGCAGCTTGCCATCGCGGACAGCGTCAGTCTTCTCCGGGTCCATGACACTGAGAAAAGCAAGAAACGCAAAAAATCGGCTTCTGGCCATAATCTTTGGAAGAATGAGGCCGGAAAATAACTCCGAGGTATTCCAGTATAGATGGAGGCGAGGCAGTTCCACAATTCCCATGTAGATCAGGACTCCTATGCACTGCATCACTTCATTGGGACTGAACATTTTCCATGAGCCGTCCTTTTCTGCGTACGTTTGCCTCTCTAAAATATGCGCCCACGCATATTTGTTTGTGTTCTCACAGAAGAGTTGGAAGACATCGACGGCCCGGACGAACCGCCGTGCGTTACTCCGGACCGCGCCGCCAACTTTGACTCCCGGGTTTCGTTTAGGAAAAAACTGTACGCGCTTCACAGCTGCTGGCCAGGAATCATGTCCGTATGACGTTGAGACCCTGAAAATAAATAATATAGCTGTGAGTACATGCTCCGCCGGTCATAACTATTTATTAGTAATCTAAATGTGCGCCCCACATAGAGCTGACACTCACCCGCTGGATGTTCCGGCTTGAGTTGGTGCATCCTCGTCATCGGTGCTGAAATCTGATGTGTCCACATCATCTTCAGTCTCACTACTGCTGATTGCATCCGCAAAATCGGCTCCTAAAGAGCTCGAAAGGCCAGAAGCGCAACATCTTTTGGGAGCGCCCGCGCACGATGACGACGCCATGATCGAAGCGCTCGCCCGTCAAAGCGAAACTTTTTGCGACGCGGGGAGGAGCGCCGCAAAGCAGGAAACTAACAAAACATAGCGGAGCACGTTGTGTGTTTCCCACTTTCTAACCTAGATGGCGCTAGGCGCCCGTAAACCGCGCGAGCGCGCGAAAATTTGAACTGGAAGTGCGTCGATCAAATTGATCGATTTGAATAGGCGCGGTAGCGAAAGAGTTAATCCTCAGTTCTCTGCCAGGGCATGCTAGGTGCCCTTCTTTGGTTTGGCACATAAAACTCCCAAACGTGACTATCGTCAAACTTCACTGTAAGATCTATATTTTACGAGGCAAAATATATGTTCCGCCCTAAGTAAATTTTGTCGCAATGCGTGCACCGGCGTCGACCTTGTCTCCCGGAAGCATGTGTACGTCTGCTGCGTCATTGCCGTCATTTTGAAAGAGCACTTGCGTTATGAAAATAAATGTAGTTCTAAGTGGCACAGCCAATGTACAAAGGTTCACAAAGCTTGTTGCTCGTCGTACTAACAATCATGGACGCGAAGCGAGAAATATATCCCGCTAGCAAACTCTGCGCTTGGCGAGGCTTCCTTCCAAGTGCTTTGCACACATTTGGCGCATGTGCCTCTCTCTCTGCCAGTGAGGAGTGGGTGGCAAAAGGACAGGGAGTGCTCCATTCCAGCGTACTTAGTTTCTCTGGGCCTCATGCGATGCCCCCTCTTTGGCCTTCCAGGACTCGAGTGCGGGGAACGAGCTGGCCAAGCCCGGGGGCGCGGTGGCCGGGACCTCCCCGGTGTCCGTGGGGGTGCCGCCGCCACCGGGGCTGGCCCTGGTGCCGGCGCCGGGGGGGGCCATGGGGGGTGGGCCACCCCAGTCGCAGCAGCAGCAGCTGGCCCTGAAGGATGTGCAGTGCCCCATCTGCTTGAAGGTTTTCAGCCGGAAATTTTCCCTGGAGATGCACTTCCTCATCCACCAGGGGCTCAAGCCCTACAAGTGCCAGTTTTGCGGGAGGTGCTTCCGTCAGAAGGGCACCCTCATGCGCCACAAGGTACGCCTATGGGGTGTGCACATTTGGGGAGCCACTTTTACCATGAGCCGCTTGCACGGGACACCCGTCTGCTTTCATCCTGTGTCCGCTCTGTCTTTTTATGTGCGGAGGAAGTGTTTTCCGACCGCTCAAGCTGTTTCGCGTCGTGACCGGCAGCACCGGCCAAAGTCGTAGGGAACATAAAGGTGCCTCAACTGTTAGTCAATTTTCATACATTCCGGTCTTCAGTCGAACCTCAAACGAGTGAGCGCTCGAGAAGCAAGCGCTCACTCGTTGGCGGGCAAAATGGCCCCGGCAGAAGAAAAGATGGGGTAAGCTTGGGTTTAAGCGTCCCAAATACATCCCCGATTGTACTTATGTTGGGCTGTCTGCTTTTTGCTGCGTTTTACCAATACCAAAAACAACATTAACCAAGAATCGTTAGAGTGTGCGCTGATAAAAAAAATAGCATAAGGTGCCACCGGTAGGGCCGCAGATGGCTTATTGATCTTGAAATTCATAGTTTTCGAACATGCTGCTCAGCAGTGTGTTTGGAAGTGGCGTTGGATGCCCGAAATTTTGAGGGACAGCAATGAAACGAGTGTCTCGATCCTCCAGTTGCTGATACACGTTTTATGCTGGTGGGGCCACCTGGACACGCTTGCAGCAGAGCTATAACGCCTCGTTTATGAACAAGGGCATTTTTTAATGTTCTGCATATCCCGCCTTTATTTGTGTTTTTTTGGGGGGGATGGTGCACCGCCGTGTTTGCCACTCGGCTCTTGGAAGACACTTAAAAAAGTGTGTCTGTCCATCTAGTAAAGCCCGGGACAGCCTGGGTTTTTACCCGTTAACAAACTTTAACTGCCGCTTACTGCAAATGTTGCTTTTGATGGTCATGGGGTATTTTTTTAGTATCCTGCTTCATGAGCTGCTCAGGAATGTGGCGAGAAATTGAACTTTCAACTCGAACACGATTGGGCCAGCCAAAGCAATTTTCAAAGTGTGCCCAATCCAAATACCCTATTGTGCTAGTTGCTGCTGTGCAAGACGCCACAATGAGAAAATGCTCCGTTCAGTCACTACCGTAAAATACCGAGCAAGCGCCCCCCCCCCCCCCCCCCTGATATTTGGAGGTAATTCGCCTAGATATTCGCAACTCCAGCGCGCCGCTCGCCCTCCTGCGGACAAACGGAGAACCAGAGGAGTGGGGACGGCAGTGGCAGCGGCGGCGCGGAAACAATGGCAGGGACTGTCGGCCTTCGTGTATGAAGCTGCTTTAACGAAAAAAGTGAGCGCGTTAAAAAAGGAATTTTTGTGCTCCGCCTTGCAACAGCATTGCACGAAGGACCGGGATGTCTAATTTCATTGGGGATTTTTCATGTATCGCATGCGCTGCGGATTTCTGGTCTTGTGCATGGCCGCCAGCTCAATCTGTGCTCAACGTGACGGAAAACGCTACCGCTAATAATGAAGAACTCTATAGTACGGTCTACGAAAAGTCTATTCTTTGCCATAAGTAGGAGAAAACTCGTCGCGCAACGGTATGTCGCGCAATGCAAATCGGGAATGGGTTCGCGTTTTAAGGCCGTTACAAGGAACATGACCATTTATTCCAAGCACTTTAAGAAGACAGAATACCCGTACTTGCTTTCAGGTAATTACGAAGCAAATAAACAAATGCTCGAAGCATTTCAAGCGCGTCTGTGTTAGCCAGCCGTTCGTGAGGAGAGCTTAGAACGCGCAGTTTTGGCCAGAGGGACCGCAATGTTGCAAATAACACGGTACAAAAAATGTACGGTGTATTAAATTATTTATTCTTGATAGAGGAATAAATGAAACCCCTAAACACTGCGATTATGTTAATAGGCAGTGTTTGCATAGCGTACGACACCCCTAAACTTCAGTTGGACGTACAGCGCACTGACGTTAAACCAGCGCTACCAACTTTCACGAACGGCTTGTGCAATTTATTAAAATAGCTTACTTAAGTGTAAATGACCGTAAAAAAAAAAGTAATCGGGGTTTTCTTGGCCCTACTGCGAAACCTCGGTGTTTTTTTGTTTTTTTTTGTACTCTTTAATGCGTACTTAGCTGCTTAATATCTTAAAATGCGTCGCCATCAAGCCTCTCGAAAAAGGTGGGGCCGTCCGTTTGACGTCGGAGGGCTGCACGGCGAACTGAAGTTTTGGAGTGTCGTATATGTAACAAGAGGTGTAAGGACTACAACATTTTTTTTTTTTTAAGAATGATGAGCACGGCAGTGCTTTTGGCGCGCACTGAAAATTGTGCTTCAAAGGCGCAGCGCGAGCTTGCGGTTATAATGCTACAGCGCACGGTAGCCTGTGGTGACAATCTTTCTATCAATAACCATAGAGCAGTTGGATTACGTGTTGCAATACACTAAAACCAAGACGGTGAGCAGCGAGTTGCAAGGCTGGGATGCAAAGACACCCATACTGTGAACGCTGCTCTTCCGAAGCTTGACGGTCACCGTTCGCGGCTCTCTTTTTAGGGCACTGATGGCTAGGCAAAGCGCAAACATATCTTCATCACCCTCAAAAATATTCTGCCACGCACAGTAACGTGGACGGTGCCTAAAACGCGCTCGCTTACCGCAAAGCTTCGCAATGGGAGGTTTCTGCAACTTTTAAATATCAGCATGTTCGTTTTCCTAACGTGCATCGGCATCTCCGTCACCTGTAATATGATCCCTCCCTAACCGCTTCGCATTTGTAGACAAATAAGTCCTTTTAAGCGCGCTGAACAGCGTCAGCGATCAGGCGCGCGGGATATCCTGGAAAATCTATCCCCGTCTCTTCCGCCATCTTGGAACTACCGCCCCGCCACCTATAGGGCGTTGGAGTTGCGAATAGAGGGGGCCCTTACTCGGATCAGGCCCGAAATTCAAGATGGCGGCCACAAAATGGCGGCTAGTAAAAGTGAAAAAAAGAAAGCATTATGGCCTGCGTTATTAAAGACATTTATTTACGGACACTCCAAGCAATATTCAGTTCGGAAAACGGAAATTCTGGTATTTGCCTCAGTCGCCATCAAAGCCACAAAACGATTCCTCAGAATCGGATCTCAAAATGAGGTCTAGGTCCTTGCTCCGCAGCTCGTCTGGGTTCTTGGGGACAACAGCACCGACGTCAGACAGCCGTTCATGAAGATCGTCCTCCTCGCCGCTCCCTATGCAGGCACTAAGGAAATGGCGGTAATGGCTGGTGGTGCGTTCTAGCAACCACGTGGATTGGATTGGATTCAATATTGACTTTGTACACTGGAACAGCCGAAAAGCCCAGAACAAAGCTAAAAAAGATGCCTTCGGGACAGGCGGCAGCGGGAGGGGGGTGCTTGCTCGGTTGTGTACAGAAATGGGAAATTTCTGGAAGATGTGTGGGGGGGGGGGGGGGGGGGGGGGGGGGCAGGGCACTTGGCGCTTGCTCAAGTGAGGGTGCATGCTCGGTATGTTACGGTAAGCTAAACTAAGTTTTAAGATCTCAACATGTTGAAGAATTTTCAGAAAACATACTGATTGGCGACGAGAAAAAATTCCCTTCAAATTTGATTTCGCGCCGTTTCCGAACTATCTAGTTTCTGCAACAAAATTCTCAAAGTTTCTTCTTTTTTTTTTTTTTTTCTTTTGCCAAAACTGAAGATTGTAAACATGGCACGATGCCATTTTGCAATGCCGCTCCTTGACCTAAAAGTAGAATTTGTCGCTCGGACATTTAGACGACAGGAAGTTGGTCGCCCTTCTTGTGGCGTGGGGTGCCTCCACTGTAGAAGGGCCGTTTAGCAAGTGCAGTATAATTGCCGACCCGGGTTTTCTGACGTACATCGCGCTTTCGAAATACATGACCGCACACGACACTCATACAGATAAGTGGGCAGAGCCGGGGATTAAGCCCAGAAACGACTCGTGTTTTCTGCGGCGCTAAACGTTTCCTGCTCAATTTCCGAGCAGCTGCACCCTAACACGCTCGGCCATGGCGGCGAGTCGTTTCTTTAGTCGCCGCAGGAAACGGCTTGTGCCACACGATTCGATAGCTGAAAGCCCTTTGTTGCCTCTGCCGTTCTTGGCTGGCCAATGCAAGCTGCCACTTGACGGCTCGTATCGCCCGTCTGGAGGCCGTGCCTCACAAAACTGGGATTCTTTTCTACGCGAAGGCGGAGCGTAGCCTCTGGAAGCCTGACCGGTGCCCCACTTGCAGGCGATCCACAGCCAGACGCCGTCGTACCGCTGCGGCCTGTGCGACAAGAGCTACCGCCAGAAGAATGTGTTCCTGCACCACCTGCGCAATCGGCACAAGGTGTCGACGGACGTGCTGGACCGGCGGCGTTGCCACATCAAGAACAACAATGCAGGAGGGGGCCTGATGGAGGCCCTGCCCCCGAGCACCGCCCCCTACCCGCCCCCGCTGCCGCCCCCCTCCATGGGCTCGGTGTGCCTGCCCCCCCTGAGCCCCCCAGAGCCCCCGCCCCCTGCCGACCAGGACCCGTCCATCATCCTGCGAATCTCGGAGCGGCAGCAGAGCATGCCCCCGCTGTTCTCGGGCAACCCGGTGCCCCCCCTGCACCTGGCGGGGGGCTCCCTGCCCCCGGGACCCCCCGCCCCCTGGCAGTGCCCCTTCTGTGCCTTCGAGAGCGTGCACGACCCGGACGTGTGCCGGTCCCACCTGCTGCAGCACGTGGAGGACCCGCCCCCCGCGGCCTACCTGGACTGCCCCCTGTGCCCCCGCAGAATGGGCTCGCCCGCCGAGCTCGCCGGGCACCTGCGTGACTTCCACGAGAGCGGCGGGGGGCCCCAGCCGGGAGCCAGCCCCCCCCGGCCCCCCCCGCGGAGAGGACGCCCGCTCGGACGTCACCTTCAGCTGCATCCCGTGCCAGATGGAGTTTGGGAGCGAGGACGACTTTGAGTGGCACGTCAAGACGCACGTGCAGAGCGTGCTGGCGGAGCCCCGCCCCCCGGACGACTGCGTGGGGCCCCTGGACCTGACGGAGGCCCGGGGGGGGCGGCCGGGCCCGGGACGGGGAGCGGGGCGGGGAGCAGCGGGGGCAGGGGCGGCGCCAGCTCATGTGCGTGGAGTGCGGCAAGCTGTTCGGGTCCAAGGCGCTGTACCGCTACCACGCCCAGCTGCACCTGGCGGTGCAGGGGGCCTTCCGCTGCCCCCAGTGCCGGCTGCGCTTTGCCCGCAAGCCCCAGCTGCTCCAGCACACGCGTCAGTGCCACCTGCGGCGGCTGCGCTGTCCCCGCTGCGGCCGCCTGTTCAGCTACCGCTGCCTGCTGGCCAGTCACGCCCGCCACTGCCCCGGCCCGGCCCCGCCCCCGCTCTGCCTGCCCGTGGTGGACATCGAGGCCGCCCGGGGTGCCCTGGGGCCTCAGCTGCTGGGGGTCATCCCCCTGGTGGCTCCGGACGGCGACGAGCCCAGCCCCGTGCTGGGCGTGCCCGTCCTGGCCCCGGACTCGCTGCTCAAGAACCGCCTCAACGGGCTCCACGTGTCCGCCCGCATCGGGCTGTGACGCCTGCTCGGCCGCCCGGACGCCCTCTGAGGCAGACGACTCTGGGAGAGATTCCTGCCGCAATTCGAGCCCGGCGGCGCAAATTCGCCGAGTGCCAGTTTGCCGAATCCGGGTCTGCCGCACTCCAGTTCTTTTATGGTGGCAGTCCGTCGAACTCCGGTCTGCCGGACTCCTTGTTTGAAGATTTCTCGGTCTGCTCAGAGCCAAGTGTGCCTCGGTTTGAGAGCCGGACGGCTGGTCGAGAGCGCTTGAGTTGTTGCGGAGTAGCAGACGTATTTCGCCCTTGGGGGCGGTACTGTCAGGTCTTAAACAGTGGGGAATTCGGGGGAGAGGGCAGCGTTGAAGCAAGGTGTGGGTCAATGGATGTCGCTGGCAGGGGAGAACAATCTCCTAGTCTTCCGACGCATCACCATTTCTCCATCCTTTTCAAACTTTGCAGTACAAAGATCACCCTCGTTGTTGAGAAACTCGGTTTGCGCTTTGTCGCAGTTAGGGTTTTCGCTTGGGACGACGGCTCTTTCTGGTTCAAGCTCTTTGGGAAGGGCAGCCGGATGGCAATGGCCGTAATTGTCGGGCGCTTGCCGCGGGGTCGTTCCAGGCATTGTGGCCCTGCGTCGCTCCGTCTGGGGCGTTACGGGTCCCACAGGAATACTCCGCTTTGAAAACCGGCAGCACCAAATCGGTCTGCTTCGTCCGTTTCCACTCCTTTTGAATTTCGCCTCAATTACGAGTCTGCTCATCAGGAATTCCTACCAAAGATCCTCAACGTCTCTCTCGCGCGTCCAGCTATCCGTGAAGCGCCTCGCCACACGAGCGATTTCTGCTTACGTCACGGACGCCTTTCCCCGTTGCCGCTCGGGGCGAGACTTTTTTGTTGATCGATGAAGGTTACATTTATGACAGAGCTTTTACGTTCCCCACGCACGGAGGTCGTCCCCTCTTCGTAATCTCTGTCCTCGCCGACGATCGTTGTTTGGGGGCCCCCAGGCTAGTCTTGTTTCTGGCGCATCACATCAGCTTTCACAAAACGGGAGTCCCAGTGCCCTCTACAAGTGCCAAATATCCCTGTTGGGCACCTCCCAGAGGGGTCCACTTCTCTGTTGGGCCCCTCTGAGCGACTACATTTTTTGATGGTGGGGTTTCGGTTTAGAGCTAAAAGGTTTGGCCGTCCAGATTTCGCGAGTTCTTCATCGCTCGATTTCGTTACGCATCTGAGGTCTGGCAGAGCAATAACGGCGTTTCTTCACTCCGGGTCTTCGTTCCGTTGGTAGGGAAGTGGGGTTGGTTGTGGACTGCGGGGGCACGGCCCTGGTGACGCAATGCGATGCTGGCGACAGGTTCCGTTGCTGCTCCAAGGTCTTTTCAGTCTCCGCTTGGAGCGCCATTGCTCGTGGAACTTTGTGCACCTTGTTTTTAGACTCGATTCTTGATAACTTTTCTAGTGGAACGGAACTTTGTGCAGCAAATGGGGCTGCTAATTTGCTTGGGTTTCCTTAAAAGGGTGGTGCAGCAATCCTCCCACTTTCACTGAATAACGCCTAAAGATAATCGTCGAGGTTCGTGACTCATAAAGCATGCATTAGTTCTGGTCTCCCCATACGATGGCAGCCGCAAAAAAAGGTTTGAAAAAAAAACAAGCAGCCCTCGCCTCTTCAACTTGCAGCCGCACTTTGCGGTGCCGATTACTGTAAAACCCCTAATGTTTGCGAGGCCTGAATTTCACGACTTGGAAAGCGTGCAAACTTTAGGGTGCGCTAATATTTCTCTTGTTTGAAGGGGCGAATGACAGCCTTTATATTTGACAAAATTTAATGGTCACGACTATGACCCCGCTGTCTGATTGGGGAAAAATGGGAGGGTTTTGCAGTATGTGTTGCCAGTGTTGATCATTGCCATGATCTGTCATTGGCAAAGCCGTCATTACTGTTTACGTCACTGAGGCTTTTTGACACGAGCCACTACCCTCATTGACTGTCGTGAGCCAAAACCAAGCGTTCACGCAGTGCTCGTGTCCAGTCTAAGATGCATTCGAATATTGTCGTCGTAGCGTAATTCCCGTTGCTACGCTATGGAGTTCTGCAAAGGAGAGGCCCAACGAGATGTTTGCTTTAATCCTCGAAATTACGCTATGGGAAACTTCCCGGTCAGTGGCGTTGCGTGCAATACTACTGCCAGTAAGCTTGCATCAAGTTAAAAATATTTCGCCCGTAACACCTGCTATTCTAGGCCTCTGTAAACATTACATCCACACCTGCTTGGACCACAATAGTGGCTTGCTGTATTCTGCAAGTGTAGAAAATATACGACCCAATATCATTGCACTTTAACTGGTGACTGATATATTGGAGTATGTCAGCTTTGGTCTTTGTGAAGATGAAATGCAATCGGCCGACACGCCTGCAGCGGCAGGTGCTAAAATTTACGGAGAATGCTAATTCACCTGGGAGGTCTTTAAAATTTGGTTTGCACCGTAGCCCTTGTACTGCAGAACTGCCTTCTCGCACCGTTTGGATTGAAAGAATCGAATGCTGGAAAAAGCGACTTAAAATGCCGGGGGTTCGTGGCGCAATTGGGGCAACGCATCATCTTCAAGATAGCTGAAATTGGCAACGACTGCCATTGGACAACGAGGAGCACAAACTTCCGCGAGGAGTGGCAACTTCCAAGAGGATAGATGCATTCCTACGTTCCATCTATTGAGGGAGATAATCGCTGCCGACGTGCCGTAAGGCTTCCGGTCTTTGTTTGCACTCTTTCTACCAGATCGTCTGGAAACGGCCGCTGTTTCTGCCGCACAAAGCCTTCGAGATGGAGCGTGGGAATGTTGCCGTCATTACCGTTGGGTGCCGGCCCCGTTGCTGTGTGTCGGGGGGTCGTGGGCGGCAGGTGCCACGGCCACCCTGAGCCACCCTGGGCCGTACACCCGCGACTGTGTTTTGTGGGGAGGGGCCTCTGTCCTCTAACGGCCCTTGGGTTTTGTCGACGTGCACTTCTGGCTAGCGAAAAACCTTATTTTTCTGTCGTTCGGGTATGCTGAATCTCTGCGAAAGAACAAAGTTGTCCGCTGTTCTTCGGTTGGAGCTGTTCTGTGTTGCTTTGCGGCGTCCTGGTGTGCTTTCTAATACCGAGAGGGGCATTATTTATTGAGAGCACATCCTCGGAGCCAGCCTTCATTACTGTCTTGGTGCACAGCTCTTTTTGTCCTCTTTCAGCAAAGTATGCCTTCCATCAGTTTTTTTTCGGGGATTTTCAGTTGCTTTTTTTTTTTTTTCTAGTCGAACGGGAGTGTTCAGCCAAATGACAATTTCTCTTTTATTTTCATCCGCACACGCGCATCGAGATATATATACACATGTGTAGATATGCAGAGAGAGAGCCAGGCACACAGTTTATTTTGAGGCTGCAGGAGCGAAAATAGAGAAAAAAAAAAAAAAAAAAGGCACCACATCCCCAGACGTCTAGTCTGGCACGTGCGGCCACACGCGGCGCGTTTTTTTTTTTTTCCTTACGCGCACAGTACCTGAGATTGAAGTTTCGAATTATCGACAAATTTTTGTATTTGTTTCCGTTGATTCTTGTTTTTGGGCCGACGGAGTGGAGGCGGACGACAGCAATGGCGTTGGGACGAGCGGTGCTTGGTTTTGAAAGGGTCTGAGAAGCTTGGTTACGGGGGAGGGGTCTCCGGGCATGCCCTGGGGGAGGTCGGCATAGTGCACTCTGGTGTGCCCTGGTGCGCTCTGGTGCTCTCGGAGGAGGGGGATTGAGGTCCGGTGAGACGGTGGCGAGCCTCTGTACAGTGTTTGGCGTGAACGAGAGTTGTGGCTGTTGTCTGCTCTGCGTGTCGTGTTCGGCCCCTGCCCCCTGTAGGGCGGGGGCCATCGTTGTTGAGTGGCGTTGGGCGCAGACCTGTTGGTGCCAGGCTGTACTGGCTGTTTGTTCTCGTGCTGTGGTTGGTCGGTCTTGCCGTCGAAGGAATCAAAATGGTGTTTCCCGCACAAAGGTTTGTTGTCTGTCCGAACAAAGCTCGGGTTCTGCCTTGTGCACGCTGTTTCTTCCCAATACTCCCTCTGTGTCTTGGAGCAAACACCATTTTGTTTCTTTTCCCTCGTTGCGTAAAAGAGAAGACTGTGTTCTCAGGGTCATAACGCTATCTGAAGAGTTTTTGCTTGGCATTTTTTACTTGTCAAAGGAGCCACTGTTTTTGTTTATTCCACCGTGTAAATATATATTTATTGTTGCCACACCATAACTCTTTGTTTTTACCTATCACAAGTGCACTGTTCATGTTTTCTCGTTTTTTTCCTTGTTTCGTAACTTGTTTTTAACCGAAGAACTCATCCTTAGTATACTTTCTGCCATCTTCATGGTACTTTTTAGATATCCATATAGACATGGTCATGAAAAGGTTATTTTTATCATACTCGTCTCTATTGCATATTTGTTTGGTATAAAATATTGAAATATATTGTATACCTGAAGTTATATATACATATTATATATACACCTACAGACACAGTTTGCCACAATCGTGTTTGATACCGTGGTATAGATTTACAAGAGGAAAAAGAAAACTACAATGCATTTTGATGTGTGTGTACACATATATTTTTTGTATGACAAGTTCAGTCCAGCCAGCTTTGGTTGGGCAGTTTTTTAACATGTGTTGTACATGGAGGCATGTGGCAACCACCAATAGACCTCGGAACAAATAACAGAATAAAGGTATGACAATTCACGCTGCCTCCCTTCCTTTGCGGGTCCTGGCGTTGCTCTACGTTCCCGAGGGCGCCATTCGGCCGTGAAAAGACTGGCGCAAACGAGCCAGTGAATGGGTTTTTAAATGGTGATTTCATCGTACTCAAATTTTACGAGTACTTTATTTTTCCTCGTAGAAGTCTGTGTTTTTTTGTTTTGTTTTTTCAAAATTTGCCTAGGTTTTCAGCAGTGGTGCGACTTGTATACACTTTTTGCTACAAGTAAGTTTGCCATGGGTGGTGCGACTTGTACACACTTTTTGTACAAGTACATTCCTTAACTAAGCAAATTTGCCGTGGGGTAATATTTCTCTAATTCGTTTGCAAGGATATTGAACCTGGACTCTGCTTGCACAGATTGGGGTCACAATACATATGCTGTACACCGTAGGCAATCGAGGACATGTCAAGCTGCCTATGCAGCATTTTTCCTCGATCGTTGCTATCATTTTGCGATGGAAATAAAAGTCTATTATTATTATTATGATGCGGGCTTATCGGTGCAGTTCTGTCACGCTATCGTACAAATATATTAGTGTGACCTTTATATTGGTGAAAACGGCCCTTTTGTAACTTGTATGACGGTGCAGCTTGTAGACCGGAAGATATGCTCTTGAAAAAAATCTAGCCTCAAATACCGTGTTATTCCTATGCAGAGGGAGGAAAATGGAAACAAAGCATCTGGTTGATGCTGCTGATGGTGCAGCAGGCTTGGGTCTGCTACATGTTTTATCTCAAAGAAGCACCTTTTCCGTCCCACTAGTGAGTAGCATGTCAACCAGACAAATTATTTTCCCCCCTTTACTAAAAAAAAATTTTTTTTTTTTTAAAAACACATTTACGATTGTGTTGGTAACATAAATGCACCACCTGGAAAACCTTTGCAAAAACTTGAATTGTACCTGTTTCATTGGCTCAAAGTTTTTACGCCTGAATACATAGCACTCGTAGAGGAAGTAACGATGATTTTGGCACTTGAAACAAGTATGTCCTGGTGAAATAAATCTAATCTAAGGTGCATCTACATATTCTCGCGGATGGAAAAAAACCGACAAGTGTAGAACTGAAAATAAAGGTGTGATCGGCAAGCTTGTGCCAGAAAAAACGCAGCACAAAGAAAAAAAAAAAAAAAGAAGCTTGTTTGCGCCTAGCTAACATTTATTTCATTCATCCTTAACCTGTATCTAACCTGTACTCTCAAAATACATCCACATGGCGCCGATTCTTGATCGGTATTCAAGCGTGCGAAGGCACAGACACAGCACTTTGGCGTGCCAAGGAAGCTTTGAAAAACGCCCCAAGATCAGCGAAACTTGCTTTCGACGAGTTGCACCTTTTACCTGCAGCACTGCGCTTTCAAAAAATTTTTCACGTGTTCTCAACGGCAAGTATCACGGCTCACACAGGATGTTAAAGAATGTCTTCAGCGAATGATGACAAACGAGTAGAAAACGTGTCTAGCATGCTGCCGCCGTCCTCTGCAACGCTAGCACGAATAAAAAGGCATGCAAGATGGCCGTCCGGTGGCCGCACTTGCGGAGTGGGGATCGTGGTGTGCATAGAGATCATACACACTAACTTTAGAGGAAAACTGGCGGCAGAGCATGCAGGCAGACCTTCGGGGTCCCACACATTGTTACCAACTGCCTTCAATTTCACGAATATAATTATATCATCAGAGCAGTTTCATGAACTTCAGCAATCCGTGAACTTACCGGTGGAAATACATTTCGTTCCTTTCAAAGCTTTCTTTTTGCATCGCGCGCAGATGTACGACCTCGCGTCAACGCAAAACGAAACCAGATGAGCGGCTTCGCAGGTGGGGCGCGAGTGGGCGCGCCCTAGGAATACGAAACCGCGCAACCACCAAATTTCCCAGATTTTGACAGAAGGGAAGTTAAAGGGATTGTCCGGTCAGATTTTGTATTCGAGAAAACAATTGAATATCATTGTTATTGCCTCGAGACACATCGTATGTGCAATATCTGAATTTTATATGCCCCTCTGCTTGAGTAATTGAATTTATACTGCTCCAATCGCACTCTAGCGTAAACACTGTTTTCAGTGGCAACATGCTGACGTCACACAACACAAAGCGAGCATTTCTGTCTCGTCGGTCTCGTCGTTTATCTGCATTGTTTATCTGCGACTGCGAGTGTACGCCTCAGCGAAAATTACGAAAATTAAAAAGCGCAAAAGACAAGGACAAGAGGGAGACAACACAGGACAAGCGCTTACTCGCAACTGACGTTTCAATTCGGAAGATGAGGAAGATGAAGAACCCTAATGTTAAATGTTAGAAATATTTATGAGAAAGGAGTGAAAGGATCTGAAAAGACTGAGAATTGAAAAAGAAAAAAGAAAAAAAGAAAAAAAAGGAAATTAGTAAAAACAATAGGAAATGGTGGGCATGATTAAAGTAACAGTGAAAGAAATGACAGTGAATATATTAAGAAAAAGAAAGAGGAAGGTAAAGCAAATTAAGAATATCTAAGGGAAATATTTCATGTACTCTAATTCTTTTGATGACAGAGCCACCGAAGGAGCACTGATGCAGGCGTCTCCTTTGGTCGCAATCACTTCAGCCTCAAGGATTTCTCGAGTTCGCTTATCTGGACACCTCTTCAAGATCCTTGTGCTGGACAGTAGCGGGGCGCATCTACAGTCCCTCACATGTAGAGCGAGATGCCCCGACGGAGAGGATTTTAAAGATAGCGCATGTTCTCTGAGCCTTACGTTGATGCATCTTCCCGACTGTCCTACATATACCTTCAGGTGAACGGGATCAAATACACTACCCCGCTGCAACAGTTGACGTATTTGTTGCCGTGCTTAACACTGCATTTGTCAGGCTTTGTGCGCGGGGTGTTGACTTTGGGGCAGAGCTTTTTAAGCTTGTCGGGGGCTGAAAACACAACCGGCACTTCGTATTTAGACGCAATTCTCTTGAAGTTGTGGGAGATGCGGTGTATATAAGGGACGACCGCCGGTCGACTTCTTCTTTCTCCACTTCTCTTGCTTGTTCTGTTTTGTTTTATCATGCATTCAACAACGTCAGACAGGATGGAGGTAGGGTAGCCTGACGCTTTGAGCCTTGATACTTGCGCGTCAAAGCTTTCCCTTGCTGAATGAATGCAAGACTTTTTCAGGGATTTAAACCAACTACGAAAACAAATCATCGCATCCATTTTCACGGCCAAGACCCACAAGGAAGAATGTCCTTTTCGCGTAATTGTGACCGAGAAGGGATCTTGGCAGGGTGAAATGTCGCGGTACCTTCTGCATCATTTGTCTGTTCTCCAACTTGACGACCCATTCTTGATTTCCAACTCCGAAGCCGTGATTCAATACCTGAAAGACGACTCAACCCAAACACGATATGGGTTCTCCCTAGATGTTGAAGACCTATTTTATTCAATACCACATAGAGAATTGTTTGACACCGTCAGCGAATGCATAGACTCCAATGGAGCCATAGGTTTTCAAAACACCTGTGGCATACCAGTTGCGTCTTTCCTAGAGCTTTTGAAGTTTTATTTGTGCTCGACGTTTGTCACTTTTTCGGGAGAAACAAAGGAATATGCATCGGGTCATGCGTAGCTCCCATTTTGTGTGACATTTTTCTTTCAAAGTGTGACAGGGGCATATTCCAGGGTTTGACGTCCTATCCAGTCGCACGCATATTCAGATACGTTGACGACTATCTTGTGCTCATGACAAAAATCCCTGACGCAAACGACATCACCATCATCAAGAACATATTCTTAGGTCAGGCCCAAGGATTGAATTTCACCCACGAGACTCCAACTAACAACAACCTTCAGTTCCTGGATACGCGACTCACCTTTCAAAATGACCACGTCTGTTGGATGTATTCACCTAGATCCAAGAAACGAATACTCCAATATGAATCTGCACACTCAAAACTAGTCAAAAGGAGCATTGTGTCTAGTTGTTTGAGCGCTGCCCTGAAAAAGTCTTGCATTCATTCAGCAAGGGAAAGCTTTGACGCGCAAGTATCAAGGCTCAAAGCGTCAGGCTACCCTACCTCCATCCTGTCTGACGTTGTTGAATGCATGATAAAACAAAACAACAAGCAAGAGAAGTGGAGAAAGAAGAAGTCGACCGGCGGTCGTCCCTTATATACACCGCATCTCCCACAACTTCAAGAGAATTGCGTCTAAATACGAAGTGCCGGTTGTGTTTTCAGCCCCCGACAAGCTTAAAAAGCTCTGCCCCAAAGTCAACACCCCGCGCACAAAGCCTGACAAATGCAGTGTTAAGCACGGCAACAAATACGTCAACTGTTGCAGCGGGGTAGTGTATTTGATCCCGTTCACCTGTGGGAAGGTATATGTAGGACAGTCGGGAAGATGCATCAACGTAAGGCTCAGAGAACATGCGCTATCTTTAAAATCCTCTCCGTCGGGGCATCTCGCTCTACATGTGAGGGACTGTAGATGCGCCCCGCTACTGTCCAGCACAAGGATCTTGAAGAGGTGTCTAGATAAGCGAACTCGAGAAATCCTTGAGGCTGAAGTGATTGCGACCAAAGGAGACGCCTGCATCAGTGCTCCTTCGGTGGCTTTGTCATCAAAAGAATTAGAGTACATGAAATATTTCCCTTAGATATTCTTAATTTGCTTTACCTTCCTCTTTCTTTTTCTTAATATATTCACTGTCATTTCTTTCACTGTTACTTTAATCATGCCCACCATTTCCTATTGTTTTTACTAATTTCCTTTTTTTCTTTTTTTCTTTTTTCTTTTTCAATTCTCAGTCTTTTCAGATCCTTTCACTCCTTTCTCATAAATATTTCTAACATTTAACATTAGGTAGAGTGCCTTCATACACACGCGCGCTTTTGCTTGAGTGGTGACATCTCAGCCATTTTTCCGCCCAATCGTTTTTTGATGCCTTTTGAAGTGCGCGCAATCCGGTGTCACTCAGCTCGAGCGCGTAGCTTTGGCTAATGCATAGA